GAAGCATCCTTTGGGGATATGCCCAAGAGTGGTATAGCTGGATCTTGACATATTCTCTTCTTCTGGAGGAACTTCTACACTTATTTCCATAGTGGCTGTACAAGTTTGCACTCCCACCAGCAATGGATGAATGTTCCCTATATTCCACATCCTTGCCACTTGTTCCCTATATTCCACATCCTTGTCACTTGTTTTATTGATCTTAGCTATTCTGACAGGTGTAAGATGAAATCTCAAAGTAGTTTTGATTTGCATTCCCATGATTATTAAGGATGTTGAACATTTAAGTATTTCTCAGCCATATGAGTTCCTTTTCTGATAATTCTCTGTTTAGACCTATACCCCATTTTAAAATTGGGCTATTTGTTTTCTTGATATCTAGTTTCTTAGGTTCTTTCTATATTTGGACATTAACCCTCTATTGGATGTGTAGTCAGTAAAAATCTTTTACCATTCTGTAGGATGTCAACTCGTTTGAATGATGGCGTTCTTTGCCATGCAGAAATTTTTTTTTTGTTTCATGAGATCCCATTTAGTAATTGTTGATCTTAGTATCTGTGCTAATGGTGTTCTGTTCAGAAAGTCTTTTCCTGTGTCAATGCTTTTAAGGCGATTCCTCACTTTGTCTTCTATCAGGTTCAGTGTGCCTGGTTTTATGTTGCGGTCTTTGATACACTTGGACTTGAATTTTGTGAAAGGTGATAAATATGGATCTATTTACATTCTTCTACATGTAGACATCTAGTTGATCAGCACCATTTGTTGAAGATGCTTTCTTTTTTCCACTGTGTATTTATGCTTCTTTATCAAAAATTAGATGTGTGGATTTATGTCTGGGTCTTTAATTCAATTCCATTTATCAACGTGTCTAATTTTGTGCCAACACCATACATAGTTTTTATTATTATCTCTCTATGTAACACAACTTGAAATTGAGAATGGTGATACCTCTAGCAGATCTTTTATTCTTCAGGTTCTGGTTTTTGTTTTTCCATATGAAGCTGAAAATTGTCCTTTCAAAAATCTGTGATTTGTGTTGGAATTTTGATGGGGATTGTATTTCATCTGTAGATTGCTTTTGGTAGGATGGCAATTTTCAGTATATTAATTCTACTGATCCATGGGCATGAGAGACCTTTCCATCTCCTGATACCTTTTTCAATGTCTTAAAGTTTTTTTTATCATTTTTATTTTAATTTTAAATAGCTTGTTTTACATGTCAATCCCAGTTCCCTCTCCCTCCCCTCCTCCCGCACTCCCCTTCCCCCCACCCTCCCACCCTATTGCCAAATCCTTCCACATAGGGGATATCTAGAGTCTGTCATTTCACTCTGTTTAGGGTCCAGGCACTCCCCTAAGAGTCCGGGCTGAGAGAGCATCCCTCTTTGTGCTATAGGCACACGATGACTGTTTGTATTCCAGGGATAGACACTAATCCACAGCTCAGGGCCCCATAGGTTGCCCAGGCCTTCTCGCTGACACTCACATTTGGGGGGTCCAGATCAGTCCCATGCTGGCCTCCCCACTGTCGGTCTGGGGTCCAAGAGCTCTCCCCTGTTCAGATCAGCTGTCTCTGCTGGTTTTGCCAGTCCATTCTTTGCCAATTTGCTCATCTCTCTCTCTGTCACTGGGTTCCTTGGGTTCAGTTCAGTGATTAATTGTGTGCTTGCCTCTGCTTCCATCAGTCACAGGATGAAGGCTCCCGGATGGTTATAGACATCAAGTTCATTATCAGGAATGAGCATTCGAGGTGGTCTCTCCACTACTGCTTAGCTTACCAATTGGTGTTATCCCTCGAGGTCACTCTGGTGCCTGATCTGTCTTCTATCCTATGATATCATACAAGTATTTTACTTGTTTGGTTAAAGTTACCACAAGATATTTTATGTTATTTATGGCTATTGTCAAAGCTGTTGTTTTGTGTTTGAGTATGTGGTCAGTTTTGGAGAAAGTTCTGTGGGCTGCTGAGAAGAAGGTATATTCTTTTGTGTTTGGGTGAAGTGTTCTGTAATATGTTAGGTTCATTTGTTTTATAATGTCAGTTATCTCCAGCATTTCTCTTTTTATGTTTCGTCTGAATAACCTGTTGGTAAAAGTGGGGCATTGAAGTCTCCAACTTTCAGTATGCAAGGGTCAATATGTGATTTAAGCAATGGTAGTGTCTCTTTTTCAAACTTTGGTGCCTTTGTGTTTGGTGCAATGGTTGGTGGATTTTTCCTTTGATGAATATGAAGTGTCCTTCCCTATCTCTTATCTCTCCTGTTAGTTAAAGCTTGAAGTCTATTTTGTCAAACATTAAAATGACTATGCTATGTGTTTAGTGTTTTAATTATCATGTGCTGAAGGAACTTTCTTTTCTGGTCCAATCTATTTGGTGTTCTGTGTGCTTCTTGTACTTTGATAGGCATCTCCTTCTTTAGGTTAGTGAAATTTTCTTCTATGATTTTGTCAAAAATATTTTCTGTGCCTTTGACCTGGGTTTCTTTTCCTTCCTCTTTATTTTTAGGTTTGGTCTTTTCATAGTGTACCAGATTTTCTGGATGTTTTGTGCTAGAAGTTTTTTTTTTAGATTAACCATTTTCTTTGACTAAGGTATTCATTTCTTTTATTGTGTGTTTAGTACATGAGATTCTTTTTTACATTTCTCTCATTCTGTTGTTGAGGCTTGCACCTAAGTTTCCTGTACAAGTTCCTAAATTGTTCATTTCCAGATTTCCCTCAGTTTGGGTTTTCTTTATTGATTCTATTTCCATTTTCAGGTGTTAGACTGTTTAATCGTTTTTTCTTTCACTATTTGTGTTTTCATAGATTTCTTTAAGGGAAAATTATTAATTATTTTAAGGGAAATTATTAGTTTCCTCTTTAAGGACACCTATCCTTATTTATAAAGGCTATTTAAGGTCTTTTTCTTGTGCTTTAACTATGTTGCAATATTCAGAGTCTGTTGTGGTAGGGTTGCTGGGCTCTGATGGAGACATATTGTTCTGGCTGGGTTTATTTTTTATTGTGTTTTTACACTGGTGTCTAGGCATCTGGGTTTGGGAAGATTGTAATTCTAGGTACTGATATCTGCTCTTGACTTTAAGTTGTCTGGTAGGAAATTTTTCTGAGATCCTGGTAGGTGTGGCCACTGCAGGTTCCAAGTAAAATGTGTTTTGAGGTATTGGGAGCTGATACTTAGGAATGGGGATGGTCTGGGGGAGCGAGGTGCTGAGAGGGTCCAGGAGAGGGAGGAAAGCTGAGTGTTTCACCAGGATCTACTTAGTCCCCTGAGAATGGTGGCAGAGTGAGGAGAGGCCTCAGCCAGTAGCCTGCTATAGAACTGAGGATGAGACCGGGGAATTGAATTTGGAAGAGTGGAGGGAGAGGTGAAGATCTGCCGTCAGCCTACCTGCTTCCATGGCTGGAGTCAATCTGTTGTTGCCATTTGTTTTTCTTTAAGTGAAGAAAATGTAATGTTTCTACACTGGTTACCAACAAATCAAATGATTTACAGTAGTTGATGTTCTAAGATCTTAATAGCAAATCTAGCTTGGCTATGTCAATAAAAGCACAGTAATGTCTATTAAGGGATTAACTTGTATTAGACTATGCATTGTTTTGTTTACTCCTCACAGTACACCTAGGAGGAAACACCAAGACGAAAAGACATTAACTGAGCTGACCGAGGTCACATGTTAGTAAATGGTAGCTTAGACATGCCAGACTCCATGTCCAACTTCTAGACCTGTCATTCTAACTTTTAGTCTATTACTCATTAATTCACTTAACCATCAAGTACTCTGACAGTAAATGGGATCAATAAAACTATTTTGTCTACTAGACAGATCTAGTAGTTTACAGAACAAAAGATTCTTAGAATTGTAGATTGTTTCCACTGGCAGCTGGCATAATGGGAGGACAATGGCTTCAGGGAAGATAGACCAGACTAGAACCCTGGCTCTGCTCATCACTTCTCATGTGACCCTGAACAATTTATTTAACCAGTCAGAGTCTTAACTGCCATATCCACATGCCAAAGATATATATTATATATACATATATATGCTCATTAATTGATACAAATATTAGATATAATGTTACATAGACAAACTATGTAATTTTCATGACCATTGTAAAATAAAAATGTGAGGCTCCCTTTTGAAAATCATTAAGATAGTAACAGCAAAGTACTAAGCCAACAGTAGGGAATTGGGTGTACTGATGAGTGTCTATAAGACCAGCATTCTGAAGTGGCAGCAGGAGGATGGAGGTTAGGGTTATCCTGGGTTATAGAGCAAGACCCTGTCTCAAAAAGAACAAATAAGTGCTGATGGATGGGTCAAGGGGCAAAATGCTTGCTGCACAAGCATGAGACCTTAGTTCTGATCCCAGAACCCACCTGCCGTGTGAGGCAGTGTGCACATGGGGCACTGAGGCCAAAGCCAGGTGGATCACTGGGGCTTAATAGCTGAATTGGTAAGACCCAAACTCAGGGAGGGACCCTGTCTCTAAAGAGGGGCAGAAAGAAGGTAGAGACCAATAGAGACAAATACCTGATATTGATCTCTGATGTCTACATGCATACAGCAGTCAAGTGCACCTAAATATACATGAATAATACCCCACACTCAGATAAAATAGATAAACTGGTGAACAAATAGAGTATAGGGTTCCTATAGCCTGATGGCATAACCATGTCTTGCATGGAGTAGGTATGTATAAAGTATAATCATTTTCCCTCTCTAGATCATTGATTCTCTTACTTTGCAGATGATGAGTAAACTGAAGTTCAGAGGAAATCGAAACTGCAAGTTTTGGCAGAGTCAGGGCCACCACTGAGACCTGCTTTGTTCCTGGCATTTTCCAAATGTTTTATAGATATCGATATTATTTGAATGTAACTTTCTATCAACAATCAAGTTTCTAAATGTTGCGTGGGTGAAATAGCATTTGGAGACTTTTCTCTCTGCAGCATGAATCCCAAAGACAGAGGGAATAGAGAACACTGCCCAAAAGGATTTGATAATAAGGATTTTTTTAGGGAGCCGAGTAAATATGTCTAGATGTCTCTCAGAAACACTGTTCTGTAGACTGCCTTCGGGCTGTAGAAGTTTCCATGGGCTTTGATCAGTGTGCTGAGGGTGTTCACATCGTAAGTTAGAAGCAAACAGATTCCTTCCATCAGGCAGTTCTCTTGGTATCCTCGTCCCAGCTGACTTGTAAGCCTGAGGATAGAAAAACAATGAAAACCAGATTCCAGGAAAAGCATACTTGTTTAGAGCCACCCAGTTGCATCCAAAAGAGCAAATTTAATATGCTATTCTCCCAGGAATAAGACTACAGAAACAAAACTTGCATCATGCCCCCCAGATTCTTTCCACTCTGGGTTGCTCTCAGCCAACATACTAACTACAGAAGTAATAGCTAAAGTTCAAAATAGATCTACACAAACCAGAAAATCGGGATTTTCATCTTAGTTCCTCCATGTAAAATCAGCCATTTGTCTGACATTAATGTATCTTCTCACCCCTTTACTCACTGCGTAACAAGATTAACATAAACCCAGAGGCAGATATTGGGGTTCAAGATGAAGATCAGAAAAGCAAAGCAGCCAGCCACTAGTTCTTACTACTACCTCAGACTGAAATGGGTGAGCCTATCTCCATAAATCCTCAGAGCACAATACAGACTACACTGCTCTCCTCCAAGGCTCAGACTGTATTCCCAAGTTCCTGTCTCTTCCTGCTTTATATTCCTCTCTCAGTCCAGTCATATCCACACCTGTCTCCACCTCCCTAGTGCTGGGATTACAGTCATGATCCCAAATCCTGGGATTAAGGGTGTGTGCCACCACTGCTTGGCTTCTATGGCTAACTAGTATGGCTGCTGGGATTAAAAGTGTATATCACCATTGCCTGGCGCTATGGCTGTGCTAGCTTTGCATTTTGATCTCCAGTGGCTTTATTAAATCATAAACAATATATCACCACACCTCTGAATTAAATTTAATCACTCTCTCCCTTCTTTGAACTTCCATACATTTGAGTTTCACATGCAGCCTTCTACCCCAGGCTCATGTAAGAAAGCCTCTATGGAACTTTGTTGGGAAAACAGCAGATTGGATGATTTCTGTAGATCCTTGTAGCTCCAGTGATCTGTGACTTAAAGCATCTATAGCCATGATGAAACCCCAAATCCGAGTGATAAACCTAATGCTGAATTTGGACTCGTTCTGTGATTCTGAGGATTCTGCTAGACTCACATCACTTAACTCCTCACCTGCCTTAGAATGAGTTCTCTCCTGGCAGAGGATCCCCACAATCCTCTGTGAACTGGGCTTACTCTATTGAGTCCCTGTTTGGATCCTCCAGGAAGCAGACACCCAGATGGAGTGAGAAATGCAAGCAGTCTTACTGAGGGGGAAAAGATCTGTGCAGGACCAGGGATGAGGTGTCCAGGGTAGGTGGGAGAGCTTCAGGGTAATGCAGCATTGACCCCATTTAAAAAGGTGGAGGAAGAATGATTTGGTAGTGGGGGCCTAAGTCTCCCATTCAGTCTAAGAAAGTCTTAGGGATGGTGATAGGGATTGGAGGCTGCCTGTTTGAGGAGTCCCACAATGGGCACGTGTGCGGTGCTCAGCATACAAAGGAGACTATAACGAGGATGTGGTAGGGCTGTGGTGACACTGCAGCAGATCCCAGAAGGCACTGCAGCGGGAGGCCTGCGGCTAACACACTCCTCGCAGCAGCCACTCCCTGTCACTGCCACATTTCACATGCCCACATGCTGTGAATCCCAAAGGTGGACACAGCTCAACTCAAACTGAGGCTTCTCATGCATATTTATTACAAAGTTATGAATACACATCAGTTTTGTGTTGGGTACTACACCAGTCTGCCCCTACCCCTTCTCCAGTGGGAAAAGTGAAGTTCATCTGGGAGGGCTTTAGGTAATAAGGAGAGGCTTTTGAGCCTGCCTTGACTTCCAAGTATATTAAAACTATGTGGCCAGGCAGAAGTGGTGCACACTTAATCCCAGCACTCTGGGAGATAGAGATAGGTGATCTCTGTGAGTTCAAGACCAGTCTGCTCTACAGGGAGAGTTTCAGGACAGCCAGGGCAGTTATGCAGAGAAATCCTGTCTCAAAAAACAAGAGAGAGAGAGAGAGAGAGAGACAGACAGACAGACAGACAGACAGACAGACAGACAGACAGACAGGCTATGGCAGGTTTAGTAAATCAGAAAATAATCCTTAGGAAGCCCGACGTAATTTTGGATTAAATACCCCTCAGCCTGGAGAAGCTTGGAGCAAACTTCCAAAGACTTTGTGCCAACCACTGGATGCTCCAAAGAAGGAGGAGTCATTTACTAGAACTGGCCCTGGAGACACCAGACAAACCTTGAAATTGCTCTGACAGCCAACTGAGTGATGCAAAAGCATGCTCTACCTCTAGGGCCCCACCAGTCAAGATTCGGGATTTGCTGGGAGGCAAGTTCAATACCTGTTGTGGCTCCTGGATTAGATTCAAATTTTGAGGCAGAGAATGGAGGGAAGAGGAAAGAATTGGAAAGGGGTGGGGTAAATAGAAGAGGCGAGAGGGGCGTCTCTCCAGATTCATACCCAAACTCAGTAACTCAGTAGTGATTATCTGGCACAAAAGAAAATACTTATGGCAGAAAGAACCCTGTATATGATTTCTAAGGCCCATTCTTGATCCTGGGCTGCCTTATTTCACTCAATGCCTCTCAGGGTCATCTGTGCCTCTGGGTTATAAGCAGAATCGCCACACCAAACCCCTTTAAGGTTCTTCCATCAAACAGCCTAGGTTTTTTGGTTTTTTTTTTGTGTGTGTGTTTTGTTTTGTTGCTGTAGGGTGTGTGTGTGTGTTTTGTTTTGTTGCTGTAGGGTGTGTGTGTGTGTGTGTGTGTGTGTGTGTGTGTGTGTGTGTGTGTTTTGAGACAGAGTCTCGAGTAGCCCAGACTGGCCTTGAACTCCTGATCTCCCTGCCTCTACCTCCTGAGTGGTGGTGGGATTACAGATGTGTGTCCCCATGCCCCACCAACAGTATAAGATTTAACAGCTTCCTTAAGAAAGAGTGATAAAGAGGGGGGAAGGGAGAGAGACTGGAATGAAAAGAATTTCCTGTAAATCTAGAGTAGTATGTCTTATAAGGTCAATCACAACATAAACACACTCAGCACAGTGTTTTAATCTAACCAGGTTGCTAACCAACAGACATTGTGTTAGGTGGTGGAGTCTGGGAATCAGGGACAGTAACATTGCTGGAGTGGAACTCATTTTGTGATCAAGATATACAGGCCTTGAAACAGGACTCTGTTCTGTCTTTATACAGAGGTGCGGATGTGAGGGAGAATAATTCCACTTGACAGGTGGTTCTCGGAATTCTGATGCTCACAAGCACGTGTGCCTGCAACGTGACGAAGGCTTCTTAAAGATGAAACCGCTCTTTCCTGCTCTGGAAATCTGCATCCACTGATCACCCTCACCCGACTAAGAATGCTGGGAGTGGAAAGTATGCCCTGCGTGCCTTCCCCCAGGCTTGATATTTTAGGATTTAAAAAACAAGAGGAGTTCATGCTCCCTTACGTATTTTTCCCATTGAGAAAAAAAAAGCCACAAAACAAACGGCAGTCAAGGGCATAAAATAATTAGGAACCAATCATGAGAAGGCTATCTGATCCTTTGGTTGCTGATACTCAGCCTTGCAGGCCAGATCCTCCCAGAGTGGATCAGGTTTTCCCGTTTTAAATTAATCATCGTGGAGGGTTACAGATGAAAACATGAGCTCTTGGTCTAGTCCCTGATGGACGAACCTCAAACCTCAGGGAGAGCAAGAGACCAGCAGGGAGAGAGACAGAGAGTGAGAGACAGAGAGAGACAGAGAGACAGAGAGAAAGAAAGAGACAGAGAGAGAGACACACACAGAGACAGAGAGACAGAGACAGAGAGACAGAGACAGAGAGACAGAGAGACAGAGAGACAGAGAGACAGAGACGGAGACAGAGACAGAGGAGAGGAGAGAGAGAGACAGAAAGAGCAGGGAGAGGGCGATCTGGGAGCAGCGTGAGACCAGACTTCAGAGAAGGGAGAAGGGGTTGTGGTGTTAGTAGAGGCCACCAGAGAAGGGAGAAGGGGTTGTGGTGTTAGTGGAGGCCACCAGAGAAGGGAGAAGGGGTTGTGGTGTTAGTGGAGGCCACCAGAGAAGGGAGAAGGGGTTGTGGTGTTAGTGGAGGCCACCAGAGAAGGGAGAAGGGGTTGTGGTGTTAGTGGAGGCCACCAGAGAAGGGAGAAGGGGTTGTGGTGTTAGTGGAGGCCACCAGAGAAGGGAGAAGGGGTTGTGGTGTTAGTGGAGGCCACCAGAGAAGGGAGAAGGGGTTGTGGTGTTAGTGGAGGCCACCAGAGCAGCCACAGCAGGGTTGTGTCCCGATCAATAAATATTGGCACATTGGGCAGCTCACCTGGTTCTTACACATGCCTGGGGCCTACAGGTTGCGGTCTGCCAACTCACGCTGTCTCTTGGCTCTCAATCTGAATGTTATTTCCTTAGGAAGGAGAGTAAACAAGCACACAGCCGTTCTGGCCACAGGCTGCACACTCTGATGATGTGCTGAACAAGTCACAGTTGCCATAGAGTTTTCCATTTACAGATTTTATGTGTATGTGTGTTTTGCCACATGCCTGTCTGTGCATCACATGTATGCAGCACAGAAGCCAGAAGAGGCCATCAGATCCCCTGGAACTGAAGTTATAATGATTGTGAGCTACCATATGGGTGCTGGGACCCAACCCTAGTCCTCTGGAAGAGCAGCCAGCATTCTTAACTGTTGAGCCATCTCTCCAGCCCCATAGTCAAACATTTTAAAAACAATTTTGACAGTTGGACCTTAAGGGTTGTGAGGAGAGGCATGGATCCTGCTGAGGATCCTTGCCCATTACCCTAATGCTCCCCTCCCAAAGGTGCTTCCGAAGGACTCCCGCCATCACTTCCCACACATTGCCATGTACCAGTCTATTACACATGCTTGCTTGTCAGCTTTGGGAAAACCATCCCATTCAACACCACCTAAAATGGCATTTGGCCCTAGCACAGACACAATGGTATTTATTGACCAAATGAACAATATATTCTGAGTCACTGCAGCACTGGAGTGGACAAAGGACTCTGCAACCTGGAAACAGTAATAGCCATATCCTGGGTTCAAGACCTTGCTTTACCCGCTATGTGACTTTGGGTCCCGGTATTCTTAAGATTTTTTTTTTTTACAATTATTTGTTTACTTTGGGGATGGGGTGGGCTATTCACAAGCCATGCCACCTGCATGGGAGTTAGAGACAACTTTTGAGAGTCTGCTCTCCTCCTCTTCTCCGTAAGTGTCAGGGATGGAACTCAGGTCCTCTGATTGCAGGGACAGTCCTTCACCTATTGAGCCATCTTGTCCCCAGTATCCTGAATGTAAAATAGAAACAACCCTGCCTTGTCTACCTCAGAAGTAGCTCAGAGTAACCATCTGATAAGCTACCTCCAGCCGAAAATAAAGGACTTCTGGGTCAGAAAATACGGTTGTTTTGTTTTGTTTGGGGGAGGGGGAATCTCTAGAGACAGAAACGTCAAAATGTGAAAGACAAACTTATTTTTCACATTAGCGAGGCAAAAGTTGTACCTGGAAATGCGCACAACAATTTCACAAGGTAAATTTTTTGTTGTTGTTTTGAGATAAAGTCTTATATAGCTAGGACTGGCCTCAAACTCGCTACGGAGTCAAGGTTGGCTTGAACTCTTGATCTTCCTGCCTCAGATTCCCGAGTACTGGGGTTATAGGTGGGTGCTACTCTCGACAATTGGATTCTTACTCTTCCCTTCTTCCCACATGTCTGTCCCCTACCATCGTGCCTGCCCTTCTGAGTCTCGCTTACAGCTGCAGACCAGCTTCTTCAACAAAGAAAGGGACACGGCCATTAGAAGCTTCTGTTTTTGTCTAGAAAATTTGCCGCCTGAGAAAGACTGATTGCTTTATTTCCAACTGACAAAAGTCTCTCTCCCTCCTGGTTTGAAATGTTTATCCTCTTGCTTAAGGGTGAGGGAGTGGCAAGATTAGTGTGGGGCAATCGGTGTTGTGAAGGAGGGTGGGGTCTGTTCGAAGCAGAATAGATGGGCATTACGCTGACATGATTAATGCTCACTACCGTATTCTGAGGGCCATTCTCCAGCTGGTTCTGGAATACCACCATTTACAATCAATGACAAAGGGCAGAAGGCAGATAGGAAACCAAGTGAATTCACACCATGCTGTCCTCCGTAAGTCTCCACTAAGGTTTCAGCTGTACATCTAGAAAAGGTAGTCTCTGTTCTAGGATTGGTAGCTAGAGAGTTCCTCTGTTCAACGTCAGATGCTGCATTCCTCTGGGATTTGGTCAATCTGTGGCTTAAGTGCCAATGTTGCTGAACTGCAGGCCTAGGCTACCTGATGCTGTCATTTGCCTGCTTTGGTTCCCAGGCACAGCAGCCCTTTGTCTTCTTTCAAACAGTTAGACCCACACAGCTTACAGTCGGAGAGACCACAGTATTGAGAGGGAAGCTCTTATTCCAAATCACATAATAAAAAAGAGTTTGTGGCTAAGCCAAGATCAGACGCCGGGTTACAGGGAACTTTCCCCATTATCCTTCCCTTTGTTCTTTTGCACTTTCATGAACTGAGGGATGGGAAAAACCCTTAACTTCACACATTCCCATTCCTTTGTGTCTCTGGGTCATTTCATAATGTTACTATTCATTCAACTCCAGGCCTCTCGTCCACTAGCCTTTGTCTTATTTTCTGTTTACAGGAATGAAATTCCAAAAACAGAGACCCCTTCTACTTCTGCAGCATTAACTCTCACCTTTACCCTTCAGCAAGGGCTTGCTATTTAAACAAGCCAGTCTAGACTTATAAAGTCATTTTGGGCATCATCCTGACTAACTCCTACTTACTTCTCTGACATTCTATAGTACTTTATTTTGGGAGGAAAATGATATTTGATTTGGTCTGGTTCCTCAGTTTGGGTCAAGAGTATTTCCTGTAAATAGGCCTACAGTGACTTATGCTCCCTGTAACAAAAGACTTTCCATGTTTCACAGCTCCTACCCACTTGATTTGTCTCTTTTCTTCACCCATCTGAAATTTCTATGTCTTCTTACCACTATTTCCTCCAGTGCCCAGCAGAGTCCAGCACATGACAAAAGCTGCCTAACTATTTGTTGAATGAAAGACAAGGTCTTTGACTCCCTGCCTCCTGTTTACAGTAATAGATCACAGTGGTACTCAAATAACAATAAAAAATGTGAAGTTCTTTATTGGTGAACATATAATGTAAGTGTTGAAGACTTTTTAATCCTAAAAGCACTATATGATGAACCTTCTCTGTTTCTGCCACAAAGACAAGAAAATACTACAGTATGGGGAGAGAAGGAAGCATGAGTGAGTGAAGTCCTGAATGAATGTGTGCTTGTAGACATGGGCACTGCCATGTTACAGGCCCCAAAGCCTCAGACCCATGAAGGAATGGCAAAGTTTTCCCTGCCAAAGTGTGGCTCAGAGGGGAGTGGCAAAACCTGCTCTGGTCTAGTTCCAGAAAATGGCAAAATCTTCCTGTGGTCTGAGTGTGAATGCTGATCGTATCTGCAGAAAATATTCACTACCACTCTCTCCTAAAGGATGTATGGCCAGAAGACTGTTCCCTGTAGAGACTTCTCCTATGAGATTAGCTAAGTCTGCCTCCTTTATTCAGCTGTACATCATAAACCCTGCCCCCAGTTAAAAGTGATTCGGCTTCTCTGGCAGTTGACCCTGACTTTTCTGTGTGCCCATGTATCCATCTGTCTGTCTTTCCTTCATTCCCTTACCACCATAGTCAGGTAAAGTCATTGGAGGCCATACAAAGTTTTTCACACTGCTAAATATTTGTAAGATGTGTGCTTTTGCCATAAGTAAATGTCATCATCAGAAGAGAATGCTACCTTGGGATATTGTCTTCCCTATGACAGGCTAGATTCTCTGCCCCCTTCTTTCCCAGTCTAGAAAGTGCTCATGCCTTGAGGAACTGTCAGCCTCTATGCTAAATTTTACTTGTGCTGTCTCATCTATAATCTTTGTGGAGGATTCTTTTTCTTCTTTCTTTTCCTCCTCCTCCTCCTCCTCCTCCTCCCCCTCCTCCTCCTTCTTCTTCTTTGGACTGAGTTTATCTGTGTAGCTCTAGCTATCCTGGAACTCACTCTATAGACCAGGTTGGCGTCAAATTCAGAGATCTGCCTGCCTCTGCCTCCAAAGTGCTGGGATTAAAGGTGTGCACCACTACCACCTGACTTACAAGAATCTATTTTCTATTACCATTTAGCAGATAGTAGTGCCAAGAAGGCCCTGTAACTTGCCCAAAGTTGAGGATGGTTGTGAGCCACCACATGGATGCTGGGAACTGAACCTGGTCCTCTGCAAGAACAAGCACTCTTTTTTTTTTCTTTTTTCTTTATTTCTTTTTTCTTTTGGTTTTTCGAGACAGGGTTTCTCTGTATTGTCTTGGAGGCTGTCCTGGAACTCACTTTGTAGACCAGGCTGGCCTCAAATTCACAGAGATCCACCTGCCCCTGCCTCCCAAGTGCAGGGATTAAAGGCGTTCGCCACCAACGCCCAGCCAAATGCTCTTTCTTTAGAATAGCAGGACCCGAGACTATTGACTGTTTCTGAAGCTGTAGATGGAGATATATTTACCCCTAAAATGCTTTGGTTCTATGGATTAGGATATTCTATGGGATAAGAATTGCATAAGAATAAGGGGAGCACACTGGGTACTCAAAACATGCTAACCTAGGACAGTAGGTCAAAATGGCTGTGTGTGTGTGTGTGTGTGTGTGTGTGTGTGTGTGTGTGTGTGTGTGTGTGTGTGTGTGTTTTATCAAAATACGTGGACTGGGTCCCTTTCTACTCTTTGATCAACTGCAGAATGGGACAGGGCTAAGCGAGAAGGATTTGGAAAATGTCCCAGAGAGAATCAGCATGGTCTTAAACTCGGAATTATTCAGTGTAATCCACAGCTGTGTACAGACACAGGGAAGGAAGCATCATTGTTCTTGTTTCCACATTATTCTGATTGCTGAAAGCTTATTTTTTATTAAATTCATCCCGATTAACATTTTCTCAAAGTAGAGTATTCCTCTCCAGGTAACATCAAAATTCAAACATGTCCTAAGCTCCCTGCAGTCTACTTACAAATCCCACCTTGCCAAATTTCCTACAATATTAAGATCTCCTTCAAGACCTTTGTCCTTACTGTAGCCAACTGATAGAGACCTTCACATTGGTTGGTGTGTGCATGTTGCCTTTAAGATAGTGTGATAGTGTGATAGAGTATGCCACCTCTAGTTGCATACAACTCCAATATCCCTGTGATAATTCACACTATGGTTTACAGTGTCTGGAACCAAAAAGTCTCACCAAGTACTTCTGGACTAACTTTATCAGAATGATTGTGTCTTTGATTCTTTGCCAGGGAAATGGAGAAAAACTCAAGTCACTGTACCTTTGGCTCTCAGCAGCTCAGAGGAAAATCCCTTAAGAAAAACAAAGAAGCTAAAACCTTAGGGATGTTGTTAACAGTCTAGTATTTTCAAACCAGTTGGGAGTATTTAATATGGTCACTAAAAGGAACAACACAGTCTCTAGAGTATGGTCAGAACAATGCTGCTGTGCTTAGAGGTTACAATGCTGTATTGAACACTTAAAATCTAAAGTATTCTTAGTCCAGTAAAATAAGAGCACTAGAAAGAGCATTCAAGGGGACAGAGTCCAACCAGTAAGGTGCTTACTGGCCAGGTATGATCCTAGATCCTCAATTAAAAAGAAGCAGGGTGTGCTGGGTCATGTCTGTGATCTCAGTGCTGGGAAGGCGCAGCTGGGCAGGCTGCTGTGATTTGTTGCCTGGCCAGCCAACCTAGCTTACTTGGTGAGCTCCAAGCCAATAAGAGGAGACCCTGTCGCAAAGAGCAAGGTGAACTGCTTTGGTGAACTATACCAGAGGTTTCCCTCTGACCTCCATACATGCACCTGCACACATGTGCACCCTCGTACACATGAACACACACACATACACACAAACAAAAAAGGAGAATTTTCATTTATGTTACTCTTTATGACTTACAAAATGTTTTCTTGTCTCTCATCTCACTTGGGTATCTCAGTAATTTTGTCGGTACTAGCACTAATTTTACAGAAGCTCAACGGCAACTGGGTTCAGTTTCATAAAAATAGCTTCCAGTAGCCAGAACCATGTCCATGCTTAGGCTCACACAGATAATCAGTGCAGAGCTATGATTAGTTCCATGATCCTCCTAGAGAAAAAGGAAAAAGTGACGTAACTGGTTTAAGCAGGAAATCACCAGCTGGCTTATGTAGCTGTAAGCCACAGAAGACAGTTATCTCCCTCACATCCATTCCCTTCCCCGTTAGCAGGTCTCCTGACTTTCATTATCATCTTCCCAGCTGCTTCCCTACTGCGAGCCCAGGTGCTTCTGGGGATGGTAACTACACCCCTGACCAGAGCTCCGGAGCTTATGGCTCAGACTTACATTAATTAGCACAGTTCTGCTGCCTTGCCTTGGCTACCTGCTCATTCAGTGACATTTTCAAGCTATTTTTGTAGACTATATTCATTACCACATATGGTCAGTGAAGCCTCTGCTCAATTACTTCAGTGCTTGACCCAACGGAGAGGCCCTTAGATGACTGCAGCCAAATAGAAAGGAAAAGCCACTCTTCTCCTGGTCTAAACAAAAAACGTGCAGCAAAGCACAGCACACCGTGCAGCTGAGGGTAGCCTCACGAGACATTTTAAAGCAAGCTCTTCTCACATTGCCAAGGCTGGTCTCAATCTCATGATTCTCCTGCCTCTGATTTTCAAGTTACTGGAATTGTAGTTTGCCTCACTTCTCTGACTCATTCATAACTTAAAAAATAATTTTAAGGGGCTGGGAGTGGTTAAAAGCACTGACTGCTCTTCCAGAGGACCTGGGTTCAATTCCCAGCACCCACGTGGCAGCTCACAATTGTCTGTAGTCCCAGTTCCAAAGGATCCGAAACCCTCACACAAACAAACCAATGTACATGAAATAAAAATAAACCATTTAAAAATTTTAAAACAAATTAAAATGAAAAACTTTTAAAAAGGTTTATTTCTAATCGCGCACGCGCGCGCGCGCACGTGTGTGTGTGTGTGTCTATCTGGAGGGTAAGTGAGTGAGTGCAGGTTCCCATAGAGACCAGAGGCATCTGATACCCCTGGAGCTAGAGTTCTAAGTGGTTGTGAGCTGCTTGATTGTGGGTGTTGGGAACTGAATTCGGATCCTTTGCAAGAGCAGTACATGCTTTTAACCAGCTGAGCTATCTCTCTAGCCCCATCAATAAACATTTGATAACAAATTGGTCAATATTTGAGATGGATGAGCTAGCTGACAGGAGCCCTGAGGCACCAACCTTTACAGGTAATTATGAAACTCAAAATCATTTGGAAGCAATAGGGTAACTTGATAGGAAAAAGCCTTGGATGAAGGGAAGATAACATGTGAGAGGCAAAGGTAAACCTTACCTAAAATGCATCCATGTTTATAGATGTCTCTTTCCTTTAAATTGTCTTATGATAGCTTGCCCATTATTTCCAGGGTCCACCTCCTTCCTGACTACTTCCCTCCTCTTCCTCCATATGATATAAAACAGCTTTAAATTATAAAGCATCATATGGTATATTATTTTTTAAATGTCTTACAATGTATATTCTACAGCTTTACCTTGCACATATGAGATATTTGGTCAATAAGTGAGCTTCTGTGAAAGACAGCATGTAGAATATGTAACCAGTAGTGTTGCTGCAAAATAAACCAGATGGGCTATGGGGGAGGGGACAGGGCAGCAGATGACCCAGGCACTGATCCAAGACTTAAAATATTTGCATATTAGTTGCAACAAAAATGAGTCATCATTACTAACTCAGCAAATATGAAATAATTTTAAATAGGCCATAATATAGTAAAAAGAAAAAATTAAATATCATGAAGACAGTCCAATATGTATATCCATTTTTTGTTTGATTAAATGAAAGCAAAGTATTAATAGGCAAAGCAATCAACACAATAAAAGCATATCTTAATTATTAGCTGAATAAAAATACTGTTGAGTCAAAAATCACACATTAGGTTTTTGGTGCCCTAAATTTAATTTTTGGAAGCTGCTTCTGAGCAGAACGCATTCAGTCTTTCAGAAATAGAATACTTATCTCCAAGGCTACTGTTGTAAAGTTGGAACAGGACATCCTTCTCTTAGTATGTCATAAAGGCAGCTTCTTTTGTGCATCCTTGCAATTCAAGCATTATAAAGAGAGCTTACAGAGCAGTCAAATGAAAGCCGAGAACGAGTAGAAAAGAACAGAAGCCAAGCATCACAATGCTCAAATTACACGGCTCCTAGAGCCGAAGAACGAGTGTGCTTTCCAAGGGTCCCGCATCACCACATTCCCTCTCCGCAAATGTGAGATTAGGGAAACAAGACCAAAGGGCAGATTTACAACAAATAAGTGACGTAATTCGAGTCAGTGATTCCTTAGGAAACGGTTATTGAGCTTAAGTGAGTCACCATCAGCTTTAAGCAGTAAAAATTTCCAGTCCTTATTTCAGGGTGCAAGTATGCTGCTTTCCCCCATTTAAGTTGGCACTGCAATCAATAACGCATGACAAAAATATACTTTGAAAACTACAGGCTGGAAAGATGGCTCTGTGAGTAATGGTGTCTGTTGCCAAGCTGACAACCTGAGTTAGATCCCTGGGAGTCACATGGTAGACAGTGAGAACTGACTCCCAATAATTGTCCTTTGACATCCACACGCACGCTGTGGCACACTGATCTCCACCTCCACACATAAAAACATTTAATAAAAAATAAAGGATGTTCTTCTAAATATAAAATGATAGGTAGTTCTTTCTCAGTGATGGGTACCAACAAGAATCAATTTGAAAATTGCATATGTTCCAACCCAGACCCCAGGAGGTAGCTGTGCCCAGGGCAGAATTGGATAGAAGAAATTGCAAAGTGGGTGTTTGTCTGTATGTATGTCTGTGTGACAGTGTCAGGTCTCCTGGGACAATTGAGCTGTAATGTGGATGCTGGGAACTGAACAGCAGCCAGGGTTCTTAACCACTGATCCATCTCTCCAGCCTGACCACAGCCCTCGTTTAAGCCGGTTTCATCTCTGCAGCTATTGCCTGTCTCCAGGGCTGTAGGAGTTAAGATGGTTTAACATCCCTTGACTACTCTGCAAGTTGGAGACTGCAACTTCACTTCCAGGAGGGCAAGTGCTGGTGCAGCCATATTCCTGTATTCTAGATACTCTGACAATAGGGAGCAGGGTAGACCCAGTGATCATATACAGTGAACTGAGGACACTAAAACAGTGTGTGTGTGTGTGTGTGTGTGTGTGTGTGTGTGTATGAGAGAGAGAGAGAGAGAGAGAGAGAGAGAGAGAGAGAGAGAGAGAGGCACTGAGGCTACACACAACTTACCTACTCCACCAGAGAGTAGGTTCTCCATGTCTTGCTCATGTGATCTGCATCATGTTATTTAGCATAATGGTTGTCTTTTTTACTTTTCTACAAAATAACGTGAAATGCTTAGCATAGATCCTAGCTCTCACTGGTTCCATGCCTAAAACCTCTCCATGTTTCTACACCTGTACCCAAACCTTCCTCTTGCTCTCAGTCCAGTATTCAAAACAATTTCTTCTCCCTAAGGCCTCTAGTTCCCATGGTAACCAAAAGACATGTACAAAGGGAAAAAATAACATAGCAAGGCTGACTGCAGAGTCTGAGTTATCCCCAGCCGACTTGCTGAGACTATATCCCCTTTCATCTTCAATACACATAATAAATAAACCATACTCTTTGTGGTTGGTTTTAACTACTTAATACTTTAGTTTACTAGGGGAGGGGAACTGGCTCAACCTGTTTTAAAGGCTTGTTGCCAATTGTTAGGGTCATTTGCTTCAGGTTTTTAAAGATTAAGTGAAAATATTTCCAAAATGACTCGTGAAGGATTTAAAGAAAATATCAATCACTCTAGACAAATAATATCATATTTCTAGATCACAGAAAATACTTTTTAAAAAAGTAGGTACTTCACAGAACTGTCTTGGCTAACCCTACTCTGACTGATATCAAACATTGAAATAATCTCTCGAAGTGTTTGGTAGGCAAAGTTAATAACAATCATCTGAATAGGTACTTCATGAAGTCTAATTATTATTTCCTCTGATGTAAGAGTCCACACACCCAACCATAAGAAGAAAGCACCTGTTACCCTTTTCATTAATTCATTTCCTCTTGATTTTCCTATGAGGATTGTGTATGATGTTTGGATGCCTTCCCCTAGGGTCTCTCTGTCTCTCTGTCTCTCTGTGTCTCTGTCTCTGTCTCTGTCTCTGTCTCTGTCTCTCTCTCTCTCTCTCTCTCTCTCTCTCTCTCCCAGTAATGGAGACTGAATCCACCATTTTGCACATGTCAGGTAAGTTACCCTTCATTCATGGCACCTTTTTATTTTGAGGCTACATCTTATCATGCTCCCCAAGCTGGCAATCTTTACAAAATAGCTAGGATTGCAGATATTTTACCTGCCTGGCTTCTCTAGTGTATTTTGATATTGTTGTGCATTCTAGAGCTTAGGGGATTGTGGCCTTCCTGTCTTTAACTCTGCCTTTGGCGTGCTCCTCTCTGCCTCTCCACTGTTGTGCCATTCCCAGTTCTTAATAGATACTGCTGGAGCGTCTCCATACACCACTTGTTCCTTTTCTCATGCTGGCAGGACTCCATATTTACATAGGCTGCATCTTCCTGCCCAAGGCTCCCTAGTCCCAGCTTGTCATGAGGGAATCATGCACCTTGCCATGGAGTCATTAAACAGGTGTCTACATTTGCCAAGGACTTCTAGAAAAGTTTCTCAGGCTAATAAAAACCACACGCCATTCTTTTCTGCCCTTGCAAATATTTGGGCTCAGAAATGATGCCTGAGAATGATATAACTTCCTGCACCTAGGGGGACAGAGATGACAAGGAGTTCTGCACCACTGACTAAACTATAAGCTCAATGCAAAACTTGTTTCTGGAAATATTGTGTACTCCTGTATAAGCCATTGAGGTCCAGATTGTTATTTGTTGCCAAGACAACCTAACAAATTCTTCCTAGATGGCTAAGGAATTATCAACCTTCTATATATTTTACAACAAACAAAACCGATAGAGATAATTAGCACCAGAATAAAACTGATAACTAAAATTAAACATGGATCAGCTAAGCAACCTGACCTGAGAGGCTCAGCCAGTTGAGTTCCCTGGAAAACAGTAGGCTAGGTAG